AAAAAAAAACAAGTGGAAAACAAAGAAACCGATGAAACAGTTCCATTAACAAAAGGCTGTACTGGCAACGCTTAACAACTAAAACAACAACAACAACGACAGTATCAAACGGTACAACAAAGTTGCGCCTCGCTTAAAATTTACCACCCTAATGTAAAAAAATTTTGAGAAGCTGAGAAAAAAAACAGGTACAAATAAATGAAAAAATGTTTGTTTTCTTTTTACTGTTCACAGATGTACGACAAAAATGTTGTGGTTGAGACATATTTAGACGAGAAAAATCTAAATAAAGTCTCAACAAACAGAAAAATGCTACTACTACCATTGGTGTGCGAATACTGCATTGGGGTGAAGCAAAATGCCACTTCAAAATCTATGGAACAATATTTTTTGTTTCCGCATTCACAAGTGTTAACTGAAAAACGCAAAATCTATATGCAATTATATAAAAGAAGACTGCATAAATCATGAATTAAATCATAAGTTGAAACAACAGCAAAGATAACGACAACGACAAAAAGAAAAAAAAATAGGCTAATAATTTAAGTTGTCAAATTGTTGTAAATTCAGTTGCCAAATAATTTGCTCCATCCTCATCCTCTTCCCCCCATCCCACCACGGTCTCCTATTCCATCTCACCAGACCGCCGCACCCCAGTTCCCATTTCGTTTTTCAAACTATATTCGGTCCAGGTTTGTTGCTCTTTATTAACATCATTTTCTTCTTTTTTTTTTTTCTCTATCCTCATCAACACTTTTGATTTAACTTGTTTGATTCTTTACTTTAATTATTTGCAATTTACAAAAAAAATGGATACAAATATGTTTGGGTCAAGAAAACCCCCGCTCCCCCCCCCAAAAAAAAAGTCGCAACAACAGTTATCATCAGTAACTTTTTTTCATTAAACTAACGACACCAAAAAAAGACACATTCTTATTACGTTTTAAACCCAACTTATCACAGCAAAAAAAAAAAATTTTTTTGTATTTTAAACAAACAAATCTTGTTTCTAATAATAATTACACAGAACCATATTAACTGCTTAGCATCTATAAAGTTCACCATTGAACCCTAATAATTTTCAAAGCTTTTTTTCTACCAATATCGCCAAATACCAATAACCAACCTGAAATGAAGTCGAAACAATAAACAGGCAAAAAACAGATATAAAAATAAAATAAAAATTTTATACTGCAAAGACAGTTAGGATAAAACAGTAGCGGAAAAAGAAGCGAAATAGTTTTTTTTTTCTTTTTTGCTTAATTACGCCTAAAACAACTTTGCCATCTCTTTTTTTTGACCACAGCAAAAGTTTACAGTTATTCAGCAAAAGAAAACGCAACAATTTCATTTTTTTCAAAAGAGAAAAAAACACTTTTTTCTTTTCACTTTTTCCGCTTAAAATTGAATCAAATAAGAAGAGATATAAATGAAAAGTCTTCGTTTTTAGAAAGCCTTATTTTTAAAGCTAACACTGTAAACTTATTTTTGTTATATTCTGGTTTATGGTTGCCGTTGTTGTTGCTATTGCTGTTGTTGCTACTGCTGCTTTTGCTGCTCCTGTTGTTTGAGCATCTGCATCCGCATCTGCATCATCACAACCACCACCGCCATTACCATCGGCACCAACGACGCCATTGATACCATCGACGAATCTTCTTCCTCCCTCCCTTCTCCCGTCCAATCTACCATTTTCCTTCTCCGCATTTGTTAATGGCTATCATATTACAGAAGAAAGAATAAGGGTCAGCTTCATTTTTCTGAATTATTATTGCAAAAAAGAAAGTTTTTGTGCTAAAATATATACGTAAATAAGCACCAAAAAGAAGAAGAACATTTTTTTTCTTTTTCTCTACCTTGCTTTTTTCAACGCTTTTGCTTTGAATGAGAAAGCTGAAAAAGAAAAAAAACCATGGAGAAAAATAACTAATGTAGTTGTATGGTGCAAAAAAACTGTTAGTGCCAAATGTCCAGCACACAGAAAAAGAATACAACAACAGCAGCAGCCGCCGCAGTAGCAGCAGAATTGTTAGAAAATTGTGGAAAACAAAAGAAAAGCAATGAATTTTTCAGAAATGCTGATAACAAACCTAAGATAGTGTTATCTGTAAGAATAAGTTTAAAAACTGTACAGAAAAGAAAAGCAAATTTGCTGGCAATTTTCTTTATATTTATTAAAAAAGCGAAAAGAAGATACTTAAAAAATATTTTGTAGAAAACAGGTCTTCTTCACTTTTTTTTTTCAAAATTAAATTTCAAAAGAAATAATTCTGAAAGTGATTAACGAAAACGCAATAAACAGAATGACATAATGTCCGCAGAATTGACAAGCATACAAGCAAAAACACGAAAAAAAATGGAAAAAAACTGTCAGAAAATTTACGATTAGGCAATAATTTATGATAAATTAATCAATAAGTGACAAACAGCACATAAAAATACTCAACGTTAATAACCGTCTACGATTCTGTTGAACAATTTTGAACTAATCTCAGGAAGATTTTCCACTCATCCACTTCTTCTTTTGTTCCCTTTCCCTT